GGCCATCGCTAGTAGGTTGGAGGCCATCGCTAGTAGGTTGGAGGCCAGTGGACACTTTCAGGATGACCCAGACCCAGAGTCGAAACTGCAACCTTGTGGGAAACAGTGCGTGCCATTCTTCTTCGCGCTTGCGATGCATTGTATGACTTGAGGCGGCATGGGATTTGGTCACCCTGCTCGCATTACATTGCACTATTGCACGCACAAACAGGTATGTGAGAAAAGATTGAAAGGGAAGGGAAAGCACACAAAACGAGCAAGACATGTCTGATAAAACCAGGCTGTGACTGAATCTGCAGGATCTGGAGGCCTTCAAGTGCACGGCCTCCCAAAGCTTCTCGCTTTGTGTGATAGGGATCATCGTATCATTGCCTGGTTCAGCAACAAGTCCAGCCGAAACAAAACCGAATCTCACTCGTAGTATGTGTATATATATCATAGACAAATGAGTCATATAAGATACGAGTGTATAGACCTGTTCAAGATCAGTTGCGATAAAGGCCAAGTTCTCGAAAAGCAAACGGGCCCAGAAATCTCTGGGTGTCCCTGCGTCCGTGTATCAAGAGCACGGGACACTTCAGGTCTTTCAGCATTGCCTGGACACGGGGCAACCCCGTGCACATTGCATGCCTCTAATTTTGATTCTATGTCACCGGTTGTCAACCTGACACAAACCCAAAAAGCACTGATTCTGCACTATGTACCCAACCGAAACGTCTGCAACCACCAATCGTGGAAGAGCGCACAAATAGGGGCAGGCTGAAATCGACAAGTCATCCAATGAGCTATTTCCCTACTCACCTTACTCCCCTTGCTTATCCTTACTTGTCCTTTTTCCTTAGGCCTCTGAATCCTGTCATTCTTCACATTCCTTTCTTTCATGGCCTCCACCTAGTAGCTTCTTGTTACTAGTAGCGATGGCCTCCAACCTAATAGCGATCGCCTAGCTTCTTGTTCCTATTATTTCCTTGAAAGGGTCCTATCAAAATTCCTCCGAACGGCGCCACCGTTCCTCATTGGGCCAAAGTCGGTTGACCAGTCGCTTCGCCAGACGGCCGAAGAGGTGCCCCGCCACCTGTGGAGCCACTGAGCAAGACAAAAAGAGAGTGAAAAGAAAAAAAATAAATCTACAAAGGAAAAGTAGATTTTATGATGTATAAGGAAAGAACAAAAAACATGAAGGTCTCATTGTGGTGGGAAGTATTGAGTGTTCACCATTCTGAGAGAAGCTCACCGTCTCATCCCTATCCGGTTGGGTTCGTACCCTGTCCTCTGGGAAGTTTGCGAAGCCGCACTGCAGTACCACTCCACCAGGCTGCTGATTCAGCTCCTCGCGTGTTCGCTTTTTGGAGGCCATAAGAGCTACTGGTAGCTACTAAGACGCAGGAAAGCTCAGGCTTGAGGAAGCCCTTGCGCTATTCATTTGGTTCCTAGTCTTTTGGGGAGAAAACGTGTGAACTACTAGGTTGGAGGCCATCGCTAGTAGTAACAAGGGCATCGCTACTAGTAGCAAGGACGCTACGAACGTAGCTCCTGGCCATACTACTAGTAGCAAGAAGCTAGTAGGTTGGAGGCCGCTAGTAGAGACTCTTTCACTGCCAAGGCGAAAGTTTCTTCGGCTCCTGGCTGATCCGGTGTACTGACCGCAAAGCAGGGCCTGAGCCTATGGATCGGCCATACCACACGACCTGACAAGCGAAAGCGAAAGCCGAATGAGGCTGCAGGTGGCTAAAGGATTTCATGCTTGCCCATCTTTCGTTGCTAAAGAGCCTGTTCTAAGTTGATCTTCAGGTCATGTGCAATGTAGTGCCTTGGCAGAAAGAATGTGCGTGTCTGTTTACTGTATAATCTTCTTCAAAACCCTTCTACACAGCAAGCATGCGGACCTGTCTTTTGACAGCATCAAGTCGAGTGAACATGGAGTAAAGCTGTAAGAAAAATCGATGTGTGCGGTTGCGTGAAGCTTCCTATGGCAGAAGGAGGAATTCCAACTGCAAAGGTTGTCAGTCGCAGAACTGCTTTAGGTTGGAGGCCATCGCTATTAGGTTGGAGGCCCTTGCCATTAGGTTGGAGGCCATTGCTTTTTAGGTTGGAGGCCATCACTGCAAGTGTCCATCATCCTCCAACATCTGCTTCAAGGTACAGAACTGTTGATGCGGCATCATCGATAGACCTCGGGCTGAGAGAGGCATTGCAAAGTGAATACGTGAGAAGAAAGAAAGGAAGAACGAAATACCTAAAGGTCTAAATGTGGGATTCTGATGTGGGATGCTTGCCATTGCCATTACCGCGCCAAGGCACCGCATGTTTGCATTGCCAAGATGCAACCCATACCCCGGGAATTCGAATGACATCACCTGGCAAATCTAAAAGGCGGTCCAGCAAGGTCCCGTTTTCAGAAAGAATGATGTTGCCAAAACCTCACTTATTCAAAACAATCACAAGGATTTTGCACTTAATGAGAAGAATGTATACAGTATATCTCAGTGAGGGCTTTCGATAAATCTGCCAGCGATACATGCACTTTCAAAGATTCGGAGATACTCTGCAGCGTTTGGCGCATGTCGCCAATGTCACAGCCATTGCTGTGGGCATGCACCAGAAGCACCTTGCTTATGGCAGCTCATCAAGGCCGATTCAGTGGTTCAAGTTCAAGGTTGAAAAACAAATTAAAGTACCAGTTGGGACCCGTTACAAACAACTGCAGACCGTATGCGGACCATGCACATTCTTCATTCTCCGTCTTCTGTATCCTTCCATTAACTGTTTTCAATATGTTCGTGCTTTTTTGCATTGAATCCTTGAGCATCCGAGCAGGAGCCCCTTGCCGAATTGCGTAGAGCATGCAGGGTACCTGCCAAGGTGTGTCACAAGGCGCCGCCCTTGAGAAGTGTTCCTCAGACTACGACGAAACAAGAACCACACGAGGCAGAGGGCTCCACACAACACAAGACTTCGGATTACGGCGCACCCCTGGATGATTTGATGGCTTGCCCCTAGTTGGCAAGAAGAAGAGCTCCGGGTGAGACTGGCACAGAGTGACCGCTCCAAAGAATATAAAATCAAGGCATCTGGCATCGTTACTAGGAACAAGAAGCTACTAGGGGCTCCTGGCCTTACTACTAGGAACAAGGGCGCCACTAGTTTGACCGTTTAAGATCTGCTTCATCCAGTTGCTGGACCGGAAAAGAGGATCGCCCAGAAGGAAATGCTGCAAGCATCGCTTCCGCACCGTCAGGGAGTAAGAGGATGGCGGCGAAGGAAATGTGATCCTTGCGCATCCAGCGTCATGCAGAGTCATGCAGGGAGTGATTGTAATGCCAAATGTTGCATGTGGCACCCTTGCCCAGTGTAAAAGACAAAAGAACAAACCAGACACGGGAAAAACATGGAAAAGCGTTGTGTAGAAACGTGGGCATGAGCACACAATAGCACACAGAAGTTGAGAAAAGTTCAAGTAGAGAAGCCTCTTTTTCAGCCAAAGGCACCTATCCACAATCCATTGTAGGCCCAGCGTCATGGCCTCCAGGCGTCTTGTCTCACTTTGCGCTCCCTTGAAGGTCCTTGTTTCAGTCGCGAGTGTCCGTGCCTTGCTGGCCACTTGGCGCCACTTGGCCAGTTCACCCACTTCCAGCCCGGTCTATGGCAGACTGGTTCAAAAACTGGTTGATTGATAGTGGTTGATTGCTTGCGGGGATATGTTTCATGCATAAAGTGTTCATGTGCAAGGACACATGTAATTGTTTGAAGTATATTGTTGTTGTTGCTTTTTCTAGTTGGGTGATAGGCAATTTCCCTTGTAGTTAAACTTGGCTCGTTGGACTGCTGGCATCCTTTGTCATGCGACATTCAAACCTGAAAGGTCTCGGAGAAATTGCTTCTGTCCTTCCTTCCTGTTTACTTCTTTCTCATCATTTCTTTTCTGTTTACTTCCATCTCTTTCCCCTTCTCCCCTTCTCTTCCCATTGTTGCACCGATGTCTTTCAAAAGCATAATTCCCGTCCGACAAAGTTGGAAGCTAGGATCAACATTTAGTCTTTGTTTGCCTTGGTTTGTTGATGTACTGGATCAACTCGATGTAGTTTGCTCTTTTCAACATTGATGCCAGTCTGCGGCTCAGAAGAGCTCCATCGCAAGTCAAGGCATGTTGTACGCCTTGATAGCATCAGCTAAGATGTACAGGCAGCTGCTGTTAAAATCCGCAATTCCTTTGTGGTTTGCACACCAGCGTCACTTGAGCATGTTGCCTGTGCTCACATACCATGTGAAAAAATAAAGACTTGTGCATTGCTTGTGCAAATACAAGCACACCACACCCATGTTTTAGCACCTTGTTGTTACCCTCACAATTTCGTCAACAGCACGGCGGTCGAGGGTGCGTTGGCATCCTTCTCACCATCCTGCCATGCTAGGCCAAGTAGTGCGAACGACGAGTTGCACGACACTTGGAGTGGAATTCTCAACATGTTAGGCACATCTCGCAAGACGGCCCACCCCCCCCCTGCGGTTTCCTCATCCAGAACACTCTCCAAAGGGGATCCGGGCGAGTTTTGCCCAAACCCCGGAAACGCCGGTGCCTTTGGCGGCATTGTGAAAGACAAGTGAAACCTATGACTTGCCCATGCTCTTGGCCAGTAGGGTGTTGTGCAGAATTGCCACTTTGTCAAAACTGCACACAGGGAGATGTGCCAATCACGCCACCGATCATGGTATCCGCCGTGATCTCAATGCTGCAGGAGGATCCTGTGTCAAAATGCTTACTCCACAGATTCAAAGAAAGGGCACCACCGCAGAAGCCTTCGGCAGCTTCCGCTGTCCACCCGTCTGCGCTGAGCGCTTCATCTACTCCACCATTGAACTGTCCTTGAGCTGCCCACACATACAGCGTGGCTGGAGCTTGATATTCGATGGTCCAGGTGCCCGCTGTTGGCCAGCAATTACTGCCAATGTAAGTACCACCCAAGAGCACTGCAGGTACCTTCTGGAAAGTATAGTCTTTTTCTGGATACAAAACGATACCCTCTTCCATAGTACGCGCAGGGTGCCAATCAACGAACAATCCAGAGCAACCAGTCACTGGCCTTCCTGCATCTTCATCCTCAGGGTGCCAAAAAGCAGTAGCAATACCCCGAACTCAACCAAGCAAGTAAATTAGCCAATGGCAAAATCTGACAAAATGATTGGTGAATGATTCCTGTCTCTGAGATACACCCTGTTCTTTGGTTCATGTTTTGCATGATCGGGGTCAATACGTGGGTAACAAATCATCTGGGCGTCATTGAACCGGGCTGGGCCAGGCCTGATCCTCTCCATCTTCTCCCGGCGCGTCCTCTGCCTGCTCCTCCTCGTCCTCTTCTACGATCTGATTGTGAAAGTCCCCACGTTTTGATGGCATTTTACAATTCATGACTTTCAGCTGTCCCATGACATGCAGCCAATCCTCGAAATCCATCCAGAACGTGCCCTCCGTTTGGAAATCCACGTTCAATGCTTCAGCAATTCCTGGGTTCGCTTTCCAGGCAGAGTGACGATCACTCCATGGTCCGTTCCATTCAACTTCGTTGCCCCAAGGGTTTCTGCAGCAAACCAGCCTGATGCCCTCAATCTCAAGTGCATGCAAAAAGCTGTAGGCATGGCCCTGCACTATTCCAGAAGAAGTTTCAAAAGCTGAGGTGGAAGCCGAAGATGCCATGAGATAATTGCCTTGATCGTATTCCAAAAGCTTCTGCCACATCTCCTCTGGCTCGACAAAGTCCGTGCTATGCTTTTTGAAGATAGTCTCAAGGACTTCTTTGTCGCTTCCCGATGCACCACACGCTTTCATTGCCTCGCTACTAGGAGCAAAAGGCATCGCTACTAGGAGCAAGGACGCTACTAGGGGCTCCTGGCCTTACTACTAGGAACAAGTAGCTACTAGGAGCAAGTGGATTCGTATGTTCGCTACAACCCTTCAATGGCCCCAACCACCTCATGGCGACCAGTTCCCAGCGAAATCATAGAGCAATACAAATGTTTCACCATTAGAAGCTTGTTTGACAGCAAGCAGGTGGGGTTTAGAATCTAAATATCAGAAAGCCATGTCCAATCCTCCTTCCTCGAAAAGAGAAAATAGATGCTCAGGCATCACCCCAACCAAGCTTGGCACCCAGCTGAGGGTCGAACCTCCTCAGGAGCAATGCCCACATTGGATTGCATGATACAAATGTCGTTAGCAGCAGTGCGCTTTGCTGCTCGCTTCCCATTGCTATAGTATTTCAACCATCCTTCATCCGGCCCATCACCATCGAGCTTTTCAAACTGAATCCATTCGCCAATCCTCATCAGGGAGGGGTCCCGAATCCATTTGGCCACATTAAATCGGGCCCTTAAAGCACGTTTCCTCAGGTTTGTTCCGCAATCAGTGGCAACGGAAAAGTGCATCTTTGCTGGATTTCCTAGGTGTGTGAGCGTGTGTGTGCGCTTGAATCTTTCCAGTGTGTTCCCCGACCTTCCCTTGTTACTAGTAGCTTCTTGCTACTAGTAGCGATGGCCTCCACCCTAGTAGCGATGGCCTCCAAGCTACCTGCGTTCAAAAATATGTTTCCATCCCCAAGTCCTCCACTTTTCGGTGAAGTGAGCACCTTCGCCCAGCTGACCTAACCGCTGCCGGGACTTGTCGTAATCCCAGTAGTCCGCGACCACTGGAATCCCTTCGCCCGCAATCACCACCCACTGCGGAGCTGCTGCAAGGTATGTCGTGCTGTAGTAGAAGACTTCTTTGCAGCTGGTCGTGTGAAACCAGGCGATCTCTGGAAAGCCGGCGTCCAGAGCAGACCAATTACCATACATTTTGGCAAAGGCCTCTTCAAGGAGCGCAATGCACATCTTGCTATTAGGTTGGAGGCCATCACTTCTAGGTTGGAGGCCATCGCTATTAGGTTGGAGGCCATTCCTATTAGGATTGAAATCAATGCCACTCCTCCATAGGAAAAATATATTTTGGCACAGGCCTTTTCAAGGAGCGCAATGCACATCTTGCCATCAGGAATATTGGCAAACAGCAAGTCTGGCTGGTCCCCACCCGAACCTGTACATGGCAAGTAGTCATCGATTTCAATGATTTCCCAGCGATTGCTGCGACCGTCAAAAAGCTTCACTTGGTACTTGCCACTTTGGGAAATCTTCTTTGTCACAAAGAGATTGTTCTTGATGTAGGATGGGAATTCTGCCAATGCAGACAATGCTGCCACAAGCCAACAGTTGCCAACAGTGCCTTGGCACGCATCTGCAGGCTCTACATCTGCAAAGAGAGCAGGATGAGGATGTAGAGACACGGCTCGAAGCCATCGATTGCCTTTGTATTTGCTGGCGGCTGCGCCAATGGAGTCATTGTTGTGAGGGAAATCGGGATCTTTCCATCCATCCTCCACAGCTCTGACCTTCAAACCAAATTTAAAGCCTTTGGGCACGTCATCATCGTTCAACCCGACCACCGCCATCTTCCCACCATGAGCCTCATCTATCCAAAGGGCCAAGTCTGGGGAATACACATCCGTAGGTCTCGAGGTGAACAAAGAGGGCTTCCCAAAGACACAAGATTCTCCAATTTTCCACATGCCTTTGGGCTCTTCATAGAAGAGAAAACGCTCAGATCTTTGGTGATACACAGTCCGGTTGCCCAATTCATAACTCATCGTTTTGAAGACGTCCTTTCCGTCAATCAGGATTGCCTGAGCTGCTTTGGCACGCTCTTCTTCTGGTGTCAATGGCGGTTCTGCAGAGCATGTCATTTGCGACTCTTTGACAAAGTTTTTCTTTCCACCTGAGGCCGCTCTGCTCCTACTCAGTCGGCTTCCCTTTTATCATCAAGCAAACCATCAACGAATCAAATAGCCAACTAGTCACAAACCTTCAGAACTGGTCTCGACAAACGACAAAGAACCGGAGCAACGATGGGAGACACGGAGTCCCCCTGCAAACTGCCTGGCTTAACTAAGGAATCGGATAATTCAATTGGAACAATGACTCTCAAAGTGAAACCAAGATGGCGAGTCAGCTTTTGCTTCACAAGACAGGTGGTTGCAACGTCCATATGGGCCTTTGTGGAAGGATCTAAAATTAGCGGGGACATGTGCTTCTTCCAGCATACACTGTATTGCTCGCATCAAGAGCGCAATGAAGTGGTGTTGATCCATCAGTTTTTTCACAGCAAATTGTATTAAACCAGTTCCTTCAAAACGGGAACCTTGGGGAAGACAGAGACTTTTGGAGGCCAAGTATGGCGCAGATTATCTTGTCAGAAAGGACTGCCTCGGACTGACATGGTAAAATGTTGAGAGACTGTGCAAGAGTGCAAGAGTCTGCTGAAATAACTCATTTTGTCTGCAAATTCAACAGAAAAGTCGATTCCTGCTTTAAACCATTTTGGAGACGCCGAGCGCAGAGCGAAAGACCTGGGGGGCAACGAAGGTCCATCTGCTTGTGGTGAACCGTGCTTCTCCGGACTCCTGCTCCTGCCTTTGTTCCTCCTTGCTGTTGCTCCTGCTGCTACCGCAGCGATACCACCACTGCTACTGCTACTGCTACTGCTCTTGCTCCTGCTCCTGCTCCTGCTCCTGCTCCTCCTGCTCCTCCTGCTCCT